TTAATTTGAGATGGAGTTTCGCTCTGGTTGCCCAGGTTGGAGTTCAATGGTATGAATTCGGCTCACTGCAACCTCCACCTCCCAGGTTCAAGTGATTCTCCTGCCACAGCCTCCCAAATAGCTGGTACTACAGGCATCGACCATCACGCTCAGCTAATTTTTAGTAGGACAGGGTTTCACCATGTTGCCCAGGCTGGTCTTGAACCCCTGACCTCAGGTGATCCACCCACTTTGGCCTCCCAAAGTGCTGAGATTACAGGCCTGAGCCACTGCGCCCGGCCGTTTTTTCAGGCTATTAAAAGACCAGCCCATGTTCTGTCTGCTGTTTCTACCGGGAGAAAACATGGCAACCCTCCTTTGCTTGTAGAGGCGAGTGGAAGCTGGGAGAACCAGCTGCCAGGGCCTCGTCTTGAGGAAGTTATTAAGAGCTGAGGGATCTCCGCCCCAGAGGCTGGGATGCAGTGCTCCCAGGCGTTCCAAGCTCTCTGCTTCCCCCTGTAGGTGAAAACGGGAAGGCAGCCCCGAGGGATGGCAGGGTGGGTGGGGTGGGACAACACTGCCCCCTGGTGGTTGATGTGCGCAAAAAAAGTGGGAATTAAAAAGCCTGGCCCTCAGAGGAGGTGGCAGATGTGGAGGCTGCCAGGGAGCATCAGAGCTCGCCCCTAGTCATCAGGTCTTTCTGCTATTGGTCTCAGCGAAGAATTCATACTGTGCCCCCCTGACTTTCTCCTCCCTGGAGTCACTCCTGCAGGAGTGTTGACTTGGAGTCCCCAGCCCCACAGTGTGGCCCATATGTTTCCAAATTCCCCAGGAGGGTCATGGTCACACAAGGAAAACCAGCATACAGCCCAGGCTGTTCCACTGTGAGCCAGAGTTCTAAGTTTACTCAAATGTGTTTTTTCCCTTATGAGATTTGGACAATGGTCATTTGCTGATTAATGATAATCCTATGATTATATCAACAAGAGCTCAAAAGTACTCAATAAGACAGCATTGGGCTGGGTGCAGTGGCTGACACCTGTAATCCCAGTGCTTTGGGAGAGCAAGGAAGGAGGATAGCTTCAGCCCAGCAGTTCAAGACCAGCCTGGGCAACATAGTTAGCCAGGTGTGGTGGCCCATTCCTGTAGTCCCAGCTACTCAGGAGGCTGAGTGGGAGGATGGCTTGAGTATGAGAGGTCGAGTCTGCAGTGAGCTGTGTTTGGGCCATGGAGTGACAAAGAAAAACCCTGTCTCAAAGAAAAAAAAATAGCTGGCTATGGTGGCATGTGCCTATAGTCCCAGCTACTTGGGAGGGTGAAGTGGGAGGATCACTTGAGCCCAGGCATTTGAGACTGCAGTGAGCCATGATTGCACCACTACACCCTGACGGGCAAAAGCCTGTCTCAAAAAAAAAAAAGATGGCATTCATTTTTTTCCTTTCTTTTGTTTTAAATGCAGGCTGGAGTGCAGTGGTGTGATATCGGCTCACTGCAACCTCTGCCTCCCAGGCAGGTTAAAGGAATTCTCATGCCTCAGCCTCCTGAGTAGCTGGGATTACAGATGCACCACCATGTCTGGCTAATTTTTGTATTTTTAGTAGAGATCGGTTTTGCTATGTTGGCCAAGCTGGTTGAACTCGTGACTTCAGGTGATCTGCCTGCCTTGGCCTCCCCAAGTGCTGGGATTACAGGCATGAGTCACTGTGCCCGGCTTTTTCTAATTTAAATTTCATTTATTGTCTGATAGCTTTGGTACAGCATTCATTTTTATATAAAAACTTTAAAAAAGAGGAATGGAGGAGGGATCCTAAGTGAACATGGTGGAGACACATCTCCTTCCTCCTGCCTTCACACACCTACTCAGCATTTATGAATCTGTCAACAGTTGGCAGCCATTCAGGTACCCTGAGATACTAGGGCCATGAAGACAGAAAGATGCAGTCACAGCCTTAAAGGACCTTGGCAGATCTGGTGTGACCGTCCCAGTAGCTAGGACAGTGCCTAGCATGTTGGCAGAAGGGATGAGAGATGAGGTCCACTGCAGAATGCTGAGCTGCAGGGGAGGGATGTCTGTGGGCAGAGGTGAGTCTCTCTCTGCCTGGCGAGGTCTGGGAAGGCTTTTCAGATGAGGAGCAGGCAGCCAGTGTACACCCTCCTCCCCAAAGCCTGCTGGACCTGGCCTTTGTGAGTTACACTCCCTGACTGGGAAGAAGCCGCTCTGATAGGAAGGTTTCAGGTGGGTGGCATTCTTGGGTTGTTGGAAGGGAGGCAGATAGGGCCTGGGGGCTGACATTTGGGGTTCCAAAACAACACTGTCACTAACCAGTGTCCTTTGTTTCTGAGGAAGCTTGTGTTTCTGGGTGCTTTTGTCTTCTGTGAGAAAGGAGCCATCCATGGTCACTGAAGTCTGTGGCTGTAATCTGCATGGAGAAGGGGAAGCTGGTGATGGGTGACAGAGTCCAGAGTGGGGAGAGAACCCCCATCCTTCCTAGAAACACAAGACATAGCCGTCTCCCCGAGGCAGGATCTGGGTCTTCCCAGTGTTGCCTCTGGATTCCCAGAGAAACTGCCAAGCAAGTCCCTGGCCTTGGGTCCAAACCATTTGCCTACATTCCCAGAAACATTCTTCTCATCACCACAATCTCACCAACTACTGCAGCAGCAGGATATCCTCCCCATGAGCCCAGAGAATGCCATGGGCCTATACTTCCATTCAGTGTTCAGCTGTGGCTGTGATGATGGTTTCATGTACACAACTCTGGCACATCTTGGGACTGTGATGGAAAGGGCAGGTGCTATAGGACAAGAAGCACAAGGTCTGGGGTCCCGGATCTGGGGTGTGAGTTCGGATCCTGCACTTACTGGCTGATAGGGTCTAGGGGCTGACATCTGGGGTTCCAGTAAGTCTAACCTTAAGCAACCTCTCAGCCTGGTTTTGTTACAAAGAAGTGGAGACAACTCAGCTGGGAGCGGTGGCTCACGCCTGTAATCCGAGCACTTTGGAGGCCAAGGAGGTGGATCACCTGAGGTCAGGAGTTCAAGACCAGCCTGACCAACACGGTGAAACCCCATCTTTAAAAAAAAAAGAAGAGGTGGAGACAACTCTTGTTTTGCCTATCTTACAGAGTTGTGAAGTTTTTATTTATTTATTTATTTTAATTAATTAATTAATTAATTTTAGAGACGGGGTTTCACCACGTTGGCCAGGCTGGTCTCGAACTCCTGACCTCAGGTGATCCACCCGTCTCGGCCTGCCAAAGTGTTGGGATTACAGGCATGAGCCACTGCACCTGGCCCTTATTTATTTATTTATTTATTTATTTTTATTTTTTATTTTTTAAAATTTTTTTAAATTTTTATTTTTTT